AATTTAGGAAGAAGCAGCATTACATTGTTTGAGGCACTTAGTGAAAAACAAGAACAGTGTGATGCACTGAGGCCATTCCTGAAATAAGTCCCCTCTCCTGGACAGACACCAGTGAGTAACAGCACAAGTGAATAATTCCATTTACCTCAATGGAAGTGCTCATTCAAGTGCCAAGATTGTCAGCAGCCACTGTGTTTGTATTTATAGTCTCTCTTGTTCTGGGTCTGGTCTGGTGTGTTTGCTTTTACATTAAAAGAAATGCTTATGTTTTGTTAGGTTACTTTTTCAACTCACTGAGAGAGTAAAAAGTAGAAACTGGTGGGTTTTTTCTGTTTTCTCTTTTGGTTTGGGATTTTTTCATCATTATGGGAAAAGTAAAGCTATGAGCCCATATAATTAATAATTTGAAATGTGGCTCTACAGGCAAATTCATGGAAGGTTTTTCAGAGCATCGCTATGCTTTTCATTTTGGTAAAATTATTTTCTCCCTTGAAACAACTGCTGACTTAAGACAGAGAGAGTAGGCGAGTAGGACAGTGATCAGACCAAAAATTATGAAGATGCTTTGGATACGAAGTTCGTAAGAGAGCGCTATTTTCCTGGTTGACTGGCTTGTCTTAAAAAATACAGTTGTTCTGACCATCTCTAATATCCATACTCTCTGAATATTGCTTATTCCCCTCAGATTTCTGTAACAGCATTGACTTGTAGTGGGTTTTATTTTCTCATCGGACCCAAGGACCCCGTCCTGTCCTAGAGAAAAGATACTTTACTTTCTCTGTGGTGTTACAAAATCCACAGGAATAAGGAATGTAGTAGATCCTCTACCACTTGAAATCTTTAAATCGTATGAAGACATATTTTTTTTAAGACCTGCTTTAGCCTGGGCTGAAGTGGCTTTATAACTTCATGTTGAGTCATAACCCTGCGGTGGGTTGAGTAATACAGCACACCCATGATGAGAAGTGACTCACGGCAGGTTGATGACATACATACATGATGGGACTGGGCTAAGACAAGACACTTATGCACACTCCTGTTTGAATCAAAGCCCCACAGTTTCCTTCTAGCTTTGGAAAAAGTAAGGAGAATCTGGCATTTTGCACAGGTGTAAGTTACTGGTACTAAAGCAAAGAGATGGGACACAGGCACATGCGGCAGGAATTCATGTCTCTTCTAAATCAACATGTCAAACAAAAACGTGCTGGAAGACAAAAGCAAGACCTGGAGTATGTAAAAAGACTGTTAAGATTATCTCATCTAACAGTGAAATCTGCAAATCATGGTGTCAGTTCTAACAGTTTTTAGCTGGGGAGGATCTCAACAGAAAGCTGTGTGTATGCACACATGATGCGTCTGCCTATTCACAAGCACATATAACACAACAAAAATTCAAGAGAACAGTATTTTACAAAACAAGAACAGCATAGGTTACCAACATATACTAGTAAAATGAGAATATTTAGTTAATATATGCTAGAAAACATTAAAAATGGCCATTACCTAGCAAATGACCTTGTGACTTTCTCCTACTTTTTTTCAGTCTTGGCCATGTGCTGTTACACACCTGTCTCTGGAGAAACCTGTCACAATGAGATGTTTATAACATGTTTACTGTAAACATTAAATATTTTTACAAAATTAATTTCTCATTGGGTAAGAAGACAGGCTCCTTTCAGAATCAATAAACAGCTGAAAGGTAGGAGGAGTCAAAAAGGTAGAGCTGATGGTCAACTTATGGTCATGAGGGAGAGAGGTTACTAGAGCATTCTTAGTACCATTTCGGTTTGGACTTGTACTGCTCAAAGCTGTCTTTGAAGACATGGGAAAATAGGTGACAAAGTTTGGGTGATCCTATTTTAAATCATAGAGCAAAACAGCTGATGATACTGAAAAATGTGAAGTAGTATGGGAGAAATAATTCCACTTATCTGTAAAAGAACAATTAGTTACTACCACTTTGGAAATAATTTTTTACATCACTGTGAGTAGTGCTTAGCACTTTTCCAAAAGGCAAGTAAAATGTTGGGAATTACTAGGAGTGAGAACGAAACAGAAAACATCCTTATGTCTTCGTATATACTATATACTATAGACATGTGCTGAGTAGTGCTACTGAGTTCTACTAATGCAATCCCAGAAAATAACACAGAATTATTTGAAAAATTATAAAGAGAAACAAGAAGGATCAGCAACATGGAAAGGCATTGACTGTGGTGGAGAAAGGAGAAGATGTAATAATTACTTGCTCCAATAAAAGCCAGGAAAGAAACCAGGAGATTTCACTGATTTTACTGTTTTCCAAATGCCTGCTCTTGGTCACTGCTGGAGGCAAAGTGTCCAGTTAATTGATGGTTTGATCAGATGCAGTATGTCTACTGTGGTGCTCTCAAGATACATCTTGTCTAATTCCTCTGTCTGCCTTCACGTAAAACTGTGCATCTGGGGAGATAGCAGCAATGAAGTTAGATGCCAAATTAGAATAGTCTGTTTTAAGGCACTTCTAGTAAATGCAGCTAAAATGCATAATGAATTACAAGTCTGATGATGACTTTCACCAGTGATATGAAATATATATAAGCAATATTTCCATGTCTGTCCTGAGAGCTTGCAAAGGACAATTTTGCACTTCTTTCTTTTTTTAAAAAGTATCATTTTATGTAAGTAGAATGACTGAAAATCACCATCTCCATAATTTTCACATTTCCTGCTCACTGCTGCTGCCCATGGAATGACATAATCAGTCACTTAGTTCTGATGCTGGGTAGCTAATTTTCATACTTTGGCAGCATCACCCTTCCCTTAATTTTCATGGTATATAGATTTTTTTTTTTATTTCTTATTTACTTAAAAGTATTTTAACATTAAATGTTAAAGGGATATGAAACAAATAGTAAGGAAAGCATCCTGTGGTTTGATAATCTCCTCTGTACGTGGGGACCAATATTTGGGTATAACACTTTCTTTTCAAAAGACAGAATTAAAAAAAATTATTGTACTTCCTCAAAAAAAGAGTTAAAAATTAGAAAAGGAATTACAGATGTTTGTTCATCTTTCTCAGATGTATAGTTGATCTGCTTCTCATAAATTAGGAGTTATGATTCAAAACAGAAAAGAATTTTTAACATAAATTTCATCAACAGCATAACAATAATACTTTTGGTCTGAAAAGTCCCAAACTATTACTCAATGAAACGTAAATTATCCATAAGAACAATCACATTATGCAAAGCAAAGGCCTAAATATTTGTGCAAACGTAATGGTGTTTTGATGATTAAGAAATCTAGAGTATGTGCAACTGAAAGCATGTTGTTAACAATAAAACTGGAAGGTAAGCACTTTTATTCTATACTGCTAAACAAACGAAATCTTCACCATATTTGCTAACATACTAATTAGATTACCTTTTAAAAGGTTTATCTCAGATTTATCTTTAAAAACTACCCTTTTTTACTGTAGTATTTAGCATTGCGTTGGCCAACAAAATGAAGACCTTCAGAAAAGCAGTATGTGTATACGGCACCACATCCAGAGAGCATCAGGGCTATTTAGATACTACATTTTTCTGAGAATTTTTACTGTCTTCTGATTAAATTCAGATTTAAATGTCAGTTACTTTATTATCAACTTAGGAATGTAGCCCTTTTAATTCTTGTTTTCTGAACTATTAGGATTTGGTTTTTTTTAAAAGACCACTCCTTACTGATGTAAAATACAGCTAATCTCTTCCGGAAAATGTTTTGATATGCTATCACTAGATGAATATATAGCTCCTTGAGCAGAAAGCAGCATGGGGGTTTTTTTGACTAACCAAATATTCTGTTCCTGATAAATAGTGATTATTCTAAGGAAAAGCTAATCTTTTCCTAAAAACACCATCAAAAAAATCCCTGGGAAAAGCAATGGGCTTGGACTATGGTCCCTGGAGTGATAATAATGTGATCTTCTTGACATCATTTCCACTGTGCAAATCGTTTATCTAGCTGAAGGTTCAAGCCCTGGTAGAGCTAGCCTCAGTGGTTTAAGGTGCTGTTAGCTATTTACTCACGCCCACACCACGGATGGGAGAATGTAATAAGGGACCAGCCCCAACTGGCACAGCTCACAGTCTGAGAAAGTATCTCAGCCTCACCTTTAGAATCTAGTGCATGAAAATGTGAAGTGCAAGGGCTGGAAATAGTTTCTCTTATCAACTCTGCTTTAAGGGCAGTCATGCCTGATAAGGAGGTGGGAGAGACAGCTGGGAACTGCAACGCCTTCAGCAGTGCCAGTGTGAATTTTCTGGAGAGGTTTGGTGTGAGCCTTGACTATGACTAGGGGGTTGGCGGCAGCTTCGTTGCTTTGTAGGAGTTAATGCAACTCAGCATTAATGCCCAAGTCCTTGAGAGAAGACGTAAATATTTCTGTCAAGTGAAGAGGAAGCAAGAGAGACGAGAGCAGTAGTGAATGCCATAAGACAGAAAAAAGTAAACTGCGTTCTTTCTGCAGTGCAGAGTGCAAGGATATGGGTGCTGAATGAAAAAACAGATAAACTGCAACACAGCCTTATTGAAGTTAAATAACATTAACCTACCTGCTTCATTTTCTTTGGAAAGAGAACTGTTTTTCTAGAAGAAAATAAATGTGGGGGGCATAGGAAGAGAACTTGGCACGAGGTTACCCCGGGAAGCCAGCAGAGATGGAGAGCATGGGGCCACGGTACAGTGACAGTGACTGAAGGAACACATTGCATTACTGAAAGCTGACCCACTAGAAGAGAGGGAGCTGCTGGCCCTGGAAGGCGTTTTTCCTAAAAAAAACCCCACCTTACTAACAATTTAGCCCTGGCGCAACGCGGAGACGGAGACCAGGTCACAGTGACTCCCCCTACCTCCAGCAGCGTCAGAGCCCAAGATGGCCGGGAGCACCGCCCCGGGGCGGTGGGAGCTGAGCCCGGGAGGCGGCCCGGCCCTGGTGGAGGCCGGGCTACGGCCGCCCGCCCCCTGGCCCTGCCCCCGCCCCCTGCCCGGCACCCCCGCGCTGCCTGACGAGGCTCCGGCGGCGACGGCTTCGAGCGGCGACAGCGGCGGCGGCACCGGGTGAGTGGCGGTGAGAGGGAAGCGGGTCGGGGGTACCGCGCTCGGGGCGGCCGCGCTTCCACCCCTCCGCCCCGGGGGCAGGGAGGCGCTGCCCGGGCAGCGGGTGCGGCTGCCGCTGGCCCGGGCGAGGCCCCTTTCCCGGTGCTTCCTGCGCGGGCGGCGGCGGGAATCGGATCCCGGCGGGGTGTGGGAAGGGGAGACCGCGCTGTGCTCCCGACGCGGCCCCGCCGAGGAGCCATCGGTGTCTGCGAGGGGAGAGGTCGGCGCGGTGGGCGAGAGATGTGTGAGCGCTCGCAGCGGTTCGGCGCGCTCCCACCAAATAAGGAGAAGTTTAGTTTTCGTGCCACGTAGTGAAAAACCACGCTGGCTTCCAGCGGTGTGTTGGCGTCAGAAATATTACAGTCTTAATAGTTGTCGTGCACTTTTGATGGTTGCTGTGTTGAGTAGGTGACGATATAAAGATTCAAGTATTGTGATACGTCCCTACTTCCTTACTTCTTGCGTAGCCACACTTCTCTCAGTCTTGCCCTAATAATGTAGAATTAATTTTTTTTTTCATTCTGAGTACTGCTATTTAAATTGATGGTATACGTATATGAGGGAAAATAATATTAAATTAATGTGAACCTAAACAACTAAAAGTAAAAAACAAGCCTTTAAAGTGAAAGGAACATCTTTGAAGAGAAGCTAATTATGCTATTGTGATGACCAATATTAAAACTGGCAGTCTGACAAATGAATAATGAGAGTGTAAGCTTTCTGATAAATGGGTCATATTTTCCTTAATGATGTGTGACAATCTCTTTAGGGCTGAGTTAAACAAAACTAGGAGTTTACCCAAGGCAATTGCAGCTCTGAATTGTTGCTGTTACCATGTATTAGGGATGAAACTGTAGTTTGAAAGGGGCTTTGCCCAAAACCCATGCTGATAGTTAAGCTTGCTCAGTTTTGCATGTTAAAAAGACAGATTTTTTTGCAAGTGATTTTGGGATCTAGAAATCAGGCTCTGTTGCAAAGGGGTTTTTTGCCCTTTGGATAAATTGTAAGGGGTTATTGTAAGAGGTGTAAATATGTCACTCTTACCTGTTTTAGCTCAATAAAAAAAAAGAAAGGAGGGGAAATTTTTCTCTTAGGAAGAGTTTGTAATGCATCCAGATGTCAATTTTTTAACTCCACTTACGTACCAGTGCAGAAATCCTGGCTTCTTGAACAATGGAGTGGCTCTCGGTTCTCAATGAGCACCTTTTAGACAGTGATCAGCTCCAGAAGCTCTCAGTGGTTTTTGTTCCAGGCTTCATTTTTGGCACCTTTGAGGCCCAGTTTCTTGTGCTTACCTCAATGCCAAAGATTTTTCTTAAGGAGTTCAACATCTAAAGGTTTCATTGTATTGATGCTGCTTTGCACAGCTTAGATGACAAAATACCTTCCAGGTGTCTGCAGTTATTAACCGTGGACGCTTTGTGGCCGAATAGCGTTTTGTGTGACTGTAGTGTTGCCCTATGCTGAGCTGCGTATGGCTACATTGTTGCAAGGCATTGGTGTACACTAGTAAAAATTGCTGTGTTTCATAGCAAAGAGGTATCCAGGATATGTTTGGCAGTTCCCTGGGATCACTATGAATGAAAATAAATGTTGACTGCCTTAGGTCACTGGCATAGTTTGGATCAGTTTTGCTCTTAGTAGCACGTATGCAGGAGCTGCTGTCCTTTCAGACATCGTGTGTG